CTCTCCTCCAGCCCCAGGACTCTCCTCCAGCCCCAGGACTCTCCTCCAGCCCCAGGACTCTCCTCCAGCCCCAGGACTCTCCTCCAGCCCCAGGATTTGCTTTTTCATTCAACATTGTACTACCATGTCCATCAGGTTATTTCTGTAGCTTTGACTCATCCATCTTAGCCACTGTGTTCATTATGTGAAAATAACATCATTGATTATTTGTTCTTCTGGCAATGTGGGTTTCAGGTATTTTTAATATTTTACTCCTAGGAACTGCACTATAAGTATTTTGGTACATGTCTCCTGGAACGTCTGTGAAAGTGTTTTGACATTTATTATACATTAACAAGTCACAGGGATGTGATGGCTTATAATGATTGCCAACCTGATAGGATCAATAATTACCTTGGTAACCAATCTCTGAGCATATCTATGAGGGAGTTTTAGATTGGGTAATTAAGGTGGCAGGGTACATTCCTTGGGCTGGATCCCTTGAACTAAGTAAAACAGAGAAAGCGAGCTGAGTATCAGCATTCACTCCCACTTGCTTTCTGATTGTGGTTGCAATGACTATGTGACCAGCTACCTCCCTTTCCTGACACCAGACTTTCCTCACCATGATGGTCCACGTCCCAAATTGTGAGTCAAAACAAACCCTCCCTTCCATAAGCTGCTTTCATCACGTATTTGTGTCACAGCTGAGAAAAGTCACTAATAGATAGGGCATATGTCCCTTCCTTTTAAAGCGGGTTCTAGCTTTTCTCTCAAAATGTCTTCCATATGCTTTTCCCTTCCCTTTAATGACAAGAGCATCCATTCAGTATCATTTATTTGACAATTAAGAAGCACTACCTGGAATCGGAGGCATTTTATCATGGGAAGCTCTTATTTCTGTAGTCAGGCATTCATTGATTTGTAGCTCTTTAGCATCCACTGATTTTCTTGTTTGTAGTTACAAGTTTGCCTTGGGGAAACCACTCTATTCTCATTGCAGCTCATGGGTTTGAGTGGGCTCCACTGTAGTTTTAGACTTAGAACATGTTCTCCAGGGTCACACCAATTAGGACATTCTATGCCTCTAGTCAGAGTGGCTGGTTTAGTATAGTAAAATGCCAGGCCTTTCCTGTTTGCTTGTTTTCTTGAGACAGAATCTCACTCTGTAGTCCTGGCTGGCCTGGGACTTTCTATGTAGACCAGGCTGGACTTGAACTCAGAGAAAGCCAAGGTGATGCAGAGTATCAGAGTTCACAGGTGCCAAGAATGGCAGCCTTCGAGAGTAGCTTGGCATGGGTTGTCAGAGCCTGAGCAGTGTGAGGACCACAGGGGAAGAGCAACCTTTAGCCCGTGTGGGTGAGGAGGGTGGCTCTACAGAGAGGTAGGTTAGGTTTGAATAGAGTGAAGAGGACATCTAAACAGAAGAACATCCAGCCTAAGGAGTCACAACCTAAAGACGATGAAAAGAATATTTTTATCAAAGGGAAGTCCAAAATGAGAAATCAGCCTTGGTAAGACTTCCAGGTAGCAGTTAGCTCTGCATAGGGAGTTGAGCCTGAATGGCTGAAGAGGACATCTATGTGAGAAAGAGCCTTGGCATGCATGGAGTGTTAGAGCCTAAGACATATGCTAGGCACATCTATGGGGTTGATGTGGAGAGGGGAAAGGATCTACAAGAGTGGGAGGAAACAAGAATGGGTTCTGTTGTTTTGAATTGGACAGGGAAGTATTGGTGTGTGAACTCATGATTATTAATGTTAGTAGAGATGTGTTTTATACTCGTATAAACATGCATGTGCATATGCAAATTCTCTAGCTCTGTCTCCTGACAAACCCAAGAGGAAAACCTTGGGAGAAACAGCGCTTGTATACCTCACATCTTGGCTTCTAAACACTACCCTTCATCAAAAGAAACTGAGGTTTTTCCTGGGGAAGGTGATTATTTCAGGATGGAAATGGTTGAAGCATAAGATGTACCCGGAAGATCTCATGTCAGAAAGCAAAGAAGTGCTCCAAGAATGATGGAGACACTAACATGGCAGAGGAAACTGTCTAGCATTCCTTTAAAAACCAAAAAGAGCTAATGCACAGTGGCTCAGAATCTGCAACATCTAAGAATCTCAAGAAAAATGATGCCGAGTGAAAAGAAGCCTTACCTAAAAGGGTGTGTATCGTATGATTCTATTGATCATAGACAGAGGCTCTAGACAAGAAAAATCATGGTGGGAAAAAGCCTCAGTGGTTGCCTTGGGAGTTGTGCTGTGGGACTGCATGAGAAAAGGACATGGAGGAGCCTCTGTTCTATGTCTCCAAAGAAGCACGAGCTATACTGCTCACGGATTTGTCAAAACTCAGCAAATTTACACTTAAAATTTAAACACCCAATTTTGTGGGAATGTTGCATTGAGAAAAAGGTTACTAAATAGTGAACTCACGTGAATTAGAGGCATAGCTGTGTGCTCAGGAAGACGTGTACATGTTGCGTTAAGATTTATCAACAATAGAGAAACAGATGGAAAGCTAAGCTAAGGAGTGAACAGTAACAAGAAGCAGCCGTGGGGAAGCCCAGTGGCAGAGCTTAGGCTCTGGGAGTGTAGATGCCGCCTTACAAGATTCTTCCAGACTCGCTGCATATCTGAACGTTTTCATGAAACAATGTTGAGAGCAGGGGAGATGACAGGACAGGGGAGCCAGGAAAAGGACTAAATCTGGGGCAATATGAACACTAAACCAACAATGATAATACTGGATTATAACCCAAGGACTAAAACAAGAAACTGTTGTGTGCTATCATAAACAAAAAGTTTGACCACAGAGAGAAACTTTTACAATGTTTCAAAGTACATCTACAACATACTGTTCATAAACAAAAAAAGTCACTTAAAAAAGTGGAAGAGTTCAACAGAAAAAAAATTTTTTTATAGAGTTCTCATGTATCCCAGCTTAGCCTTGAACTTGCTCTCTAGCCAAGGCCGGTCTGATTCTACAGAGGTATACCAGAAAACCTAGTTTGTGAAGTGCTGGGAATCAAACTCAGGGCTTTGTGCCTATGAGGCAAGTACACTGCTTACTGGGCTCTATATCCAACCCAGCACATACCATTTTAATCAATTGATCAATGTTGTTATCATAGGATTTCTAATAGAATTTGGTAAGAATAAAACATTGATTATGTGTTCTGATCCTGCCAAAAGATGAGTAACCTGGATTTAACCACAAGGAAACAATAGACAAATCTGTGTAAGAGCACACTACCAACAACCAGCTTACCATCTTCAAATGTATCAGGGTCATAGTAACCAAGAACAGACTGAAGGATTTCTGAGGGATTCCTAACATCCCAGTTTTCTAGCAAAAGAATAGTAGTTTTATGTCAGCTAGGAAATAAAAATATAAGAAAAAAAGAAGAGAAAAACAAAATCAATAAAGAGGCTGGGCAGTGGTGGCCCACGACTTTAATCCCAGCTCTTGGGAGGCAGAGGCATGTGGATCTCTATGAGTTTAAGGCCAGCCTGGTCTACAGAGCGAGTTCCAGGACTGCTAAGGCTATACAGAGAAACCCTGTCTCAAAAGAAAAAATCATTAGAGAGAATAAAGAATTGGTATACTGCAGAGGAACTTCAGCCCCAGCCAGACTCGATAGCTGAGAACTTACAAAAGCAGGAAACAAGAATTCAGGCAGTGACAGTGCACAGTTTGGGAACTTCAACTTCAGAAACAGAGGCAATCGGTTCCCACACAGAATCTGCCTGGGCTCACGGTCTGGGCTGGAAACACTCAGCAACATGTTCCACTCTTGAACACACACGCGTTCCTACCCATCTGCACACTCTTTGGCACTCACTGTGTTCCATTTAGCAACTCTAACTCCTGGGTCTGGTGGTGCAGGCCTGTAATCCCAGCTGCTCAATGGGCTGAGGCAGGAAGATTAAAAGTCCAAGGTTGACTAAACTGGCTGTTGACTACAACAGCCAGTTTAAAACCAGTCTGGAAAGCTTAATGAAACTCTGTTTAAAAATAAAATAAAATAAATGGCTGGGCAGTGGTGGCGCACACCTTTAATCCCAGCACTCGGGAGGCAGAGGCAGAAGCAGAGGCAGGTAGATCTCTGTGAGTTCGAGGCCAGCCTGGTCTACAAAGAGATTTCCAGGACAGCTAGAGCTGAGAAACCCTGTCTTGAAAAACCAAAATAAGCGAATAAAATAAAATTTAAAAGTCAAGTAAGGGATAGAAAGATACAGCTCAGAGGGCTTGACCATCATACATGAAGCTGTAAAGTCAATCCCTGGATCGAAAGAAGAAAAAAAAATTAAACGTACCAGCAGGTTTGGAACAGCCAGTGAGTGAGAGTGAGAGAGAGACAGAGAGAGACAGAGAGACAGAGAGACAGAGAGATACAGAGACAGAGAGAGAGAGACAGAGACAGAGAGAGTGTTATGTACATGTTAATGAGTGTGTGCACTTGTGCATGCCAGTGTATGTGTACATGGAGGCCAGAGGTTGATGCTGGCTGTCTTACTCAATTACTTCCTACTTTGTTTTCAAGACAGGGTCACTCACTGATTCTGGAGCTCACTGATTTAGCTAGACGGGCTGACCAATATGGCCCAGGGGCCCTCTTGCCTCTGCCTCCCTAGTGATGCCTGACCTATGCCGCAGTGCCTGACTCTTGTGTAGCTGCTGGGATCCAAATTCAGAGCTGATGCTCACATAGCAAGAACTTTACCAACTGAGTCGCTCCCTAGCCTCTGCTGCTTGTTTTGGACTTTGTGTACACGGCATAGCATTGAGAAACTGAAAGTCAGGTTACACAGCAGGAACATGCTAATATTTTACCTTTCTTCATAGACTCTCTTTCCATTCCCTCCTTGTATGTGTACAGGAGATCATCCACTTCATTCAGACTCAGAAAGCCTGAGCCATCATTGTCCCACTTCTGGAAGAGGGCTTCTAGAAGAAGTATCCGTCGGACTCGGAAAGCGTTTTGTCTAGCCTAGGTTACAAACAGGAACATAAGCAGAGGAGATATAGTCTTCATTGTGGTGGCAGGCATCTTGCATTTAAAGGAAGTGTAGCATCTCTCTCTTTTTGGAAACAGCTTTGCTTTGGGGCTAAGGATATTAGAGGGAAATGCAGAGACTGACTCTAATCCCCTAATGGCCATTTCCCTGTTTCACTTCTCAACCAAAAACGTGCAGGGATTTGCTGTAGGAGACCAAAACACTTTAGATTAGAAAGGATACTATACTTTTTGGTTGTGAGCCTAGCTTTTAACAGCTGAGACAGCCGGGACTGACCTACTCTGGTGATGGGATGGCCAAACACCCTAATAGTTGTGCCAGAAACCCCATCCAAGTACTGAGGAATCTGGGTGCAGACATCCACGCCTAGGCCCCGGGTGGAGCGCTGGGAGTCTAATTAGCGAGAAAGAGGAGGGTTTATATGA